GCGTATATAAAGTTGTTGCAGTTAAAAAGCTCGTAGTTGAACTTCAGATCTGGCTGGGCGGTCCGCTTAACGGCGAGTACTGTCTGGCTGAGTCTTACCTCTTGGTGAGCCGGCGTGCCCTTTATTGGTGTGCGTTGGGGAACCAGGACTTTTACCTTGAGAAAATTAGAGTGTTCAAAGCAGGCATTTGCCCGAATACATTAGCATGGAATAATAAAATAGGACGTGCGGTTCTATTTTGTTGGTTTCTAGAGTCGCCGTAATGATTAATAGGGATAGTTGGGGGCATTGGTATTGAGTCGCTAGAGGTGAAATTCTTGGATTGACTCAAGACCGACTATTGCGAAAGCATTTGCCAAGGATGTTTTCATTAATCAAGAACGAAGGTTAGGGGATCGAAAACGATCAGATACCGTTGTAGTCTTAACAGTAAACTATGCCGACTAGGGATCGGGCGACCTCAATTATGATGTGTCGCTCGGCACCTTACGAGAAATCAAAGTCTTTGGGTTCTGGGGGGAGTATGGTCGCAAGGCTGAAACTTAAAGGAATTGACGGAAGGGCACCACCAGGTGTGGAGCCTGCGGCTTAATTTGACTCAACACGGGGAAACTCACCAGGTCCAGACATAACTAGGATTGACAGATTGATAGCTCTTTCATGATTTTATGGGTGGTGGTGCATGGCCGTTCTTAGTTGGTGGAGTGATTTGTCTGGTTAATTCCGATAACGAACGAGACCTTAACCTGCTAAATAGCCAGGCCGGCTTTCGCTGGTCGCCGGCTTCTTAGAGGGACTGTCAGCGTCTAGCTGACGGGCTAGGGTGGATGAGTGGCTTTGAAATTTTTCCCTCCTAATATAAGACAATCTCAGAGTTGATTGGTTTATGGTAGGCGGATAGTCGGTGTTGGCTCTGTTCGCAGTCTTACAAACTGTGATAATGAGTCAATAAATATAAGATGGGAATCAATTCACTGCTGCTCGTTCTAATGGGGGAGGCCTCCACGGGGCTACGGCTGGGCAATGCAATGATGTAGTAATATGTTTTTGTAGCGAACGTCCCCCTGTAATAAACGATAAGATGGAACTTGGTCATTGTCGATTTATTGCAAAATGGAATAAAACGCGAGATTAGTTGCTGGAGCTATACCTTTCGATGCTTATTATCCATGATCACAAGTCATGGTGGTTGAAAACCATAATCTAAGGTTGGAAAGCTGATTGTCCCAGTGGAACGACTCTGAATGAGGGAAACGCTTAAAGTAGCCGAGTAACCTTAGTAGCTACGGCGAACGGACGGTGAAAAATGTCATAGTAACCAAGGCAGGATCAAGTACAGTGGTGCTACGATTGGCGGAAAGGCCTGTGAGAATTGGCGGAAATTACTTTGATCGGTGATGGATGATTTGTTGTTCGGGCTAACGAAGTACTTTGATCGGAGAATTCGTTAGTTGGAATGGTTGGAACCTCTTCTGGGCGTACATCACCAATTTAATTGTTGGGGGATATATGGTCTGTGCGCGCAAGAGGTGTATAAATGAGAGGTTGAATTCAACTGTTCCCTACCGACAACAACGCTTTCACGCTTATAACTCAACTCGTACTCTAATGTCTTCTATTCGCGATGCGGACGCCGTCACTTCGAGCAATGGCCCGGAGATGGAGGTGGATGATTGGAATTTCCTCTATAAAGTGGAGGAGCACCAGACGGTTACTATGACTTTCGACCATGTTCATGGTTGGGAAAGGGCGATGGGTTTGGGTAATACGGCTGTTTTTGTCTTCCCTGTTGCTTCTACTGGAGACACGGTTGGGTCTAAGCTCCTCAATCAAGTGACGAAGGCTCTGTTGGCTGGGGGGTTTCCTTCGGTAAAAGAGATTTTCGACGGCAGGGGGTGGATGATTTCGAGACAGCGTGGTGCGATGTTAGAGAAACTGGAGGGCGGGTACAGGTATGACGGAGCTGAGTTCGTCACGTTTGGTTGCCCGTCCGCCTTCTGGCCTCCCCCTTTCAGTTGGGAAGGGGCAGGGGGATCAGTGATTTACGAGTTTACGACGAGGGGTCTGAGTATGGAAAAGGCCCAGGAGTTGCTATCAGAGTCCTCGAGTCCGATGGTGGCGTTATATCGTCAAGGTGCGTCGCTTGGTGATAAGGATAAGACTTGGCTCTGATTACTTCTTAGTGGACGGGAAAGGGGATTGGCTCCCCGATAAGTATTTCCTTCGGTGCGTGAATGCGCCAGACGATGGGAAGGTTCTTCGTATTGGCGGTATCACGATGCGGCCCGTTTATCGGTGCAGTTTTTGTTGGCGAGGTTTCCCGTCCGCTGAGGCGCACACTTCTCTGAAGTGTCCGCTCGTTTCGACTATGAATAAGGCGCGCAAGGCGGCGGGGTACCCACCAATTAAGGCCTCGGAAACGTCTTGTCCCGATATTCCTAAGGAGAAGGTGGCTATTGATGTCGAGAAAGAGTTAGAGGGCGTGAAGGGTTTGTTGGCGAAGCTGTCCGCTCGACTCGACAAGTTGGAAAAGTCTCTTGGTGACAAGAGCAAAGATAAGAGCGGACAAGAGCAGAGAGGGAGTAAAAGAAAGGCTGACGCCCCTCCCGCCAATGAAAATAAGAGCAAGAAGGCGAAGAAAGGAAAGGGGAAGAAATCGGGGGAAAAAGATCGCGACTAGGTTAAAGGATTAAACCAGCAGGCGGGAGGCCTTTACCCGATTATTTACTCTGCTCGTATGATTGTCTGCCGTTTGTAATCCCCCCGATCTTTATAATAAACAAATTTATTTTATGCCCCCTTTCGGATGCATGAGTAACTAAATGAGCAAAGGTCATTGGTATTTTGTATAACGGACACTCTCGAATGGAAGCGCGGATCCAATCTGAGGGATACACCAAGCCAGAGTATACCCGCTTCGGCCGGTTCTGGATGGGGGCGTTCAAGTCTAGTATCTCAATAGTGAAAGGGACGCCGACTATAATGTTTGATGACGAGTTGAAAGCTGGACGCCTCACGTTGCTAAACCCTGGGTAACGTTTGAGCTTTTAGTGGGATGCGTTCGTCGGATTCTTTATGGTTAAAACAAATTCTCTCTCCCATGCATAAAACATACGCAAAACTTCAGGGCAAGCCAAGTGTTGAACAAGCCAGTTGCCTGGGTAGGGAGCGACGAGGTGATACGTTAAGTGGAGTTCCACGAAAATACCTACAAAATAAAAAGCGGCTTGACGACTGTACGCGTATTGTGTTGTTTAACACAAACAGTTTTACGATAAGTAAAGTTTGGGAAGAACTACAAGCAATTCTCGATGAGGATTTCTTGGCTCAAATTGTCAAAATGCAAAGGTTTACTGGCCGAAATCGCCGCCCACGTATCGATATGTGGGTGAAAAAGGCTGGTGCGGCTGCTCTGGTCCGTCTAATTAGAGGTCAGACCCGTGAAAGAACTTATTCTATGGTGAAAGCTATGATAGCGATAGGTCACTGTGAGCCTAGGTTCCGTGATTCTGTTGTCGGAGGGTGGAGACCAGCAATCTGGCAGTCATGGCGCGATCGTCGAATCGCTGAAATTAAGAAACCATTAGAAACTGGGGGGTTACCTGTAGGACGATCGATAATGACTCTGAACGTGAATGGATTCCACAAAAAGAAGTTACAGTTGTTAGACATCGTTCAAAGTAAGAATGTTGCAGTTTTAGCTATCCAAGAAACTTTGGTTAGTGATAAGAATTACCAGGTGAGATTACCTGGCTACGACACTTATGAAGTTAACCGCCAAGAGGCCTTCAGAGGGCAGGCTTTGCTTGTGGATAGCCGCCTCAGTTCGTATGAAGTGCCCCATGAATGTTTCCTAAGACTAGGAGTAAAATATGTCATTCATGTCAAGGTTTCGGGACTACCTGGGCTTGACCGCCCAGCACACTTCCTAGCAGTTTACCTCCCGTCGGGAGGAGCGGATCGAGCAAAACGAACGGGTTTGCTGAAGGATGTGTTGAAAGTGGTTGACGATATACTTGAGAAGGAAAACGGCGCCCTAGTCTTCTGTCTGGGTGATTTTAATTACTCAATGGAAGAAGTTGATAAAAAGCTGGCAAAAAATGGACACGTATTAACAAGAAAAATGCCAGTAGGGTCAGGCATGACGCGCTTCCCGGTAACTGGGAAGTGTGGCTCCCTAGATCATATATTGGTGACTAGTAATGCTAATGCAGTCTGTAAACGCCCAAGGGTATACCGTAAGTACTGCCTGAGCGATCATAGACCGGTCATAACCTCTCTGAGGGTAGTTCCCAAGGATAGCAGAGAGCCTGAATATAAACCCAGATATGACCTGAAAAGAATCAATCGGTGTAGCGAGCAGTTGGTGTCCCATAATAAGTGGGACCTCCTCCCTGTTGAAGAGATAAGTGAAGCTGATGAATTGGTTCAGTCAGTAGAACATTTCTCGACCGTTACGTCAGATGTCGCTAAATCCTGCGGCGTGCTGTCGGATGGGGGTGGAAGAGGGAAAGAACGCCTTCCTGAATCGCTAAAAAAACTTCTTAAAAGGCATAAAAGATACAGTAAGGAGGTGGCGGACGAAGCTGAAAGGCTCGGATTGCCCACTGAGTCGACTGTTGTCAGAATGCGACACGCTTCTAGAAAATTTAAAAAGGCTTATAAGACTTGGAAGCGGAACCAAAAGAAAAAATTATATACCCGAATCGCAGATGACTTCATTGCGCACGATCATAAGAACGTGTGGAGTCGTTTGAGAGCCCAGACGTCAAAAGTTATAAATGGGTCCGCCCTGCCCCCTGTTAGAGATAACCAGGGAGAGCTACAGACGAACGTAGATGAGATTTTAGATACTATAACCAGTCATTATAGCGCGTTAGCGAATGATGACCCATTGAATGTGTCCAAAAATCCCGAACACTGGGCTACGATGGACCTTGGAGAAGAGAAATCCCAGCTGGGTGGGCTTAATGCTGAGCTTAAATGGCAGGAGGTGCTCCTCTCTATCAGACGGATGAATCGTAATACGTCCCCTGGTAAGTGTGGCATGCATGTAAACATACTTAAGGCCCTAGTCAAGGAAGAGTGTATGGCTGAGTTGAAGCGAAAGAATCCTGAGTTCAAACGAACGGATAATGTTCGAGTTGATCTCTCTGCTGATGAATTGCCTGACGAACCTGGTACTAAAATGGGGGTGGCGCTCTTTAGAGTGCTGAAAGCTGTTTGGGCGTTAGAACTCATTCCAGACTTGTGGAATGAAGTTTACATCTATAATCTTTTGAAAGTGGGTGACCCCGAATTGCTAGTGAACTACAGAGGGATAAGTCTGATCTCGGTTTCCTTGAAATTGCTCTTGGGAATAATGACAGACCGACTATATGTAGCCGTTGAGGGGTCAGACCTCATCGCGCCAGAACAATCTGGCTTCCGACGACGTGAAGAAGCCATAAGCCAGTTTCTTGCGATTGCTGAATTGGTTCGACGTAGGCACCTCAAAGAAAACTCTACCATTGGGGTTTTCATTGACTTTAAGAAAGCTTACGATAAAGTCCATCACGAGGCTTTATACCGAATATTAGATCATATGGGAGTGAGGGGGAAATTCCTCCAATTCATAAAAAACATGTATAACGGATCTATAATGACGGTTCGAGCAGGCGGGTATCTGGGTGCGTCCTTTCGCATGAAGAGAGGCACCAGGCAAGGATGTCCGCTGTCACCGCTTTTATTCATATTGTTCATAAACCACATTCTGAAGGGGGTAGACTCTGTGGGCGTTAAAGTCCCGGGTTTATACCTGGAGAAGTGTGCTGGCGGAATGTACGCTGATGACGTATTGGCTCTTGTGGAATCTGTAAAAAATGCACAAGAGGTGTGTACGCACATATATGAGTGGGGACAACAATGGGGTATGGAACTCGGTACAGGGAAATGCGGTGTTATGTGTTGGACTGACGACCCTCAGGTAAGGGCCGAACATGACTCAACAATATATAACACGCCGGCGGGAGAAATCCCAAAGGTAAAAGAGTATAAGTATCTAGGCATATACGTGGATGAAAATCTGCATAGGTCAAGAGAACCCCTGGAAGGTATATCAAATGTAGAGACCAAACACTCTAAAAGGATGGCAGAAAAGGGGTTTAAGGCCCTAGGCAGTCTGCGCCCATTGCTTACCGATCGTTTATGTCCAGTCCCGTTGAAGGTCGCATTGGTTCGAAACCTAGTTATCCCTTTAATGACTTATGGTGGCGAGTTCATTGCGTTCAAAAAGGTTCATGCACAACCGATCCAACGAGTCGTCGATTGCGCGGCGCGTTGGATAATGGGGGTATCAGGTGTGAACCATTCTTATGCTGCAAAAACATTATGTTTTGAGCTGGGACTTCCCAGTATTGAGGTAGAGCTGGCAGGCCTGAGGGCTCGGTTATATCACAAACTCAAATTGTCGGATGTAAAGATGAAGACTTGGCTTCAGACTTTGCACGACAACCCTATAAAAGGACTTATACGATCTAAGTCTTGGTGCTCGCTCAA